ACTCGTCCCGGGGCCCGCAGTCTGGCCCTCCAACGGTCTGAGGGACAGTGATCTGGCCCCCTGTATAAAAAGTTTGAGGACCCCTGATCTAGAACATATGATTTCAAATTCAAAGCTGTTGATATGGCATATTCTTAGTTGTCTACCCTGTGTCATCCTTAGCTGTTTATACATTTTTATTGGTTTTAGTAATAAAACTATTAAAGATTTTATTAGTAATCTTTTCAGTATTTCTGTTTTGCGAGTGTAACTATGTATGTATTTCAATCTACTTCCTAAACCTCTATATAAAGTGGAGCATACTATATTTACTATTCTGCATATTGGAGTTTTTTTTGTTTGTTTCTTATTTTAAATTCTTTTCAACGTAGGGACAAGTTGCAAAAATAGGATAAAAGATTCCAGTTCACCCTTTGGGTTTCCCCTCTCTCCCTCCCTCTTGTCCATCCATCCATTTATTCACACGTATGCACACACATAAGTTTTTTTTTTTAAATGAACCATTTGAGAGTGAGTTGCAGGCATGATGTGTCTTTACCCCTAGGGACTTTAGTGTGGATTTCCTAAGAATAAGAATATTTATCAGTCATGGTACAGTTGTCAGATCAGGAAATTCATGTTGATACACCAGCATTATCATATCGTATTAAAATTTTACCACTAATATCTTTTGTAGTAAAACAAAAATAATTTTTGTTCTGATCTAGGATCCAGTCCAGTCTTACATAGCACTTCTAGTTGTTAGGTCTCCTTAGTCTTCTTAATTTGGAATAGTTACTTAGTTTTTGTGTTTCCTGACTTTAGTTTTGGACCAGTTATTTTGTACAGCGCCCCTTATTTGGGGTTTAGCTGACATTGTCTCATGATTAGATTCAGGATTAGCATTTGGGACAGGGAAGCTACAGAAAGGATCCTTCCTTGTATCCTTCCTAGTACATCGTATCAGGAGGCACAAGATATTGGTTGCTTTGTTATTGGAGATGCTAACTTTCCTAATTTGGTTAAGGCATGCCTTTTTTCTCCCTGTTATTTTTGTTCACTTAACACTGCGAGGTTGATACTGTGCATTTTACAAGGGTACAAATTAAATCGACTAAGGGTAGAATATAAATGTCTTAACACAATAACTAAGAAAATGCGGGGAAGGCTGTGTTAACCAGTTTGATGGAAGTATGTCTAATTGTATATAAAACCAGCACACTGTACCCCATAATTGCATTAATGTACACAGCTATGATTTAATAAAAAAAAGAAAATATGAGGTTGAACAAATTAAGTGTGCAAACTCGTCCTAGAAAAAGGGCCCCATATCTCATTGCTGAATATCACTACGGGCACCTTTAAGGTTCTCCCCTGGGGAGCTATGCACTGATGCCAGTGCCTAGTCCAGTTTTTTTTTTTTTTTTTGAGACAGAGTCTCACTTTGTCACCCTTAGTAGAGTGCTGTGGTGTCACAGCTCATAGTAACCTCAAACTCGTGGGCTCAAGTGATTCTCTTGCCTCAGCCTCCCAAGTAGCTGGGACTACAGGTGCCTGCCACAATGCCTGGCTATTTTTAGAGATGAAGTCTTGCTCCTGAGCTCAGGTGATCCACCCACCTTGGCCTCCCAAAGTGCTAGGATTATGGGCGTGATCCGCCATACCCGGCCTCTAGTCTACTCTTTATAACAATTTGAAACTCTTTTTCTGGAATGGCCATCAGAGCTGTTGTTATATGAGATCTGATAATTAAGTTCATCCTAGAGAAAGCACTACACACCTCACTGCGGAATATCACTATGGTCATCTTTGAAGTATTCCCTTTGGCTGTCTGGTGATCCAACACTATTTATTAATACCAACTTTTTTCTCCACCGAATGGAAACACTATCTCTATTCTACACTACATTTCCACATGCAGTTTTTCGTACTTTTATTATGTTGCATTGTCTGTCTTTGGGGACATACTCATTCAGCTGAATTGTTATTTCTATTCACACAACAATCTCTGTTCTCCTGTGGTTTAATTCTAACCAGGAAGTATTCATTCCTTTACATATTTACAAAAAGTTCATCATGCCAGAATGAAATATTTAATGACATTAAATATTGATCATTGTCTTCATCATGATTGAACACCTTTTAATGAAAACTCAAAAATATTTGTATCTCAAAGCTAAGTTTATTTGTATACTTTTTTATGTAAATGGGGTAGATTTTTCTGTTTTTTCATTTATATTCTTTTCTATTCTCTACTTATTTACAATATAGATATTTAAGAATCTGATGTTTGCAAAGGGATTTGTTAGCATAGAGTAGCGTAAGAATTATACAAATGGGAAAAAAACTATTCCGTATCTTAACTCCTACTTCCTCTTATTATCTGAAGAAATCACTTTGAGCCGAGCACTTTCTGAACCACCAGGGATCAGGTGCTGCCTGTGAGCAAAGCCTGGGATTTCCCTATCAGCTGCTTAGTTTGGTGGCTGTTGAGTCACTTCGGGGTGAGTTCTGATGAGGCCCTGGATAATTTTTCCTCGTCTTAGGAGGTTTTCCTTAGGCCCTGATACCCTCTCTAGCTTGCTTTTGCCCTTTACTCTGCACACAGGGATTCACAAAGCTTTGAAGGAATACATTGTTGTACGCTAAATATACCAATTTTTGTGAATGTTCTTGTCATCTTATGCTGAGGAGTTCTGAGTCCCCAGCTAAGCTTTTCTTCCCTTGTGTTGTCTGTGTTTTCTGTACATTCATACTTTAAGACTCAGTGTAAGCCCTAATCTGACCATTCTGTCTCTGCAATCTATTCTCCTTAGAATGTTCTTTCTCCTAATTTGGCTTGGGTCACACATGCCTGTGTTATTGTATAATCGTTTTCTCTAGGTCACCTCTCCTCATTGAATAAGTAGGGCTGGTCTCTTTGCCATCCAACCTCATTTTAAACATCCCCAATTATTTCCCACCAGCCCCCAGTGCATACTCCCTCCTCCGCACAGACTAGTTCTGTCCCTTTCACAGATACCCAGTGTTTTCCTACCACTTTGTCTATATTTTCCTTGCCTGAATATCCTCTTTTGCTTCTTTGTATCTATTTATCCTAATAGGCTTAGCTCAAATGCTGCATCCTCTGAAGCTGTCCCTGATCTCTGCTTCATTAGCACATTGTATAGTCCCTTAGAATTCTTAATCTTTGCGAGGATGTGAACTCCTTGAGGTTGATGATTCTATTTTAACAAACTGTCCTATCTCTTGGTAAGCTTGGTGTTAGGTCCACAGCAGATCTTTACAATGTGTTGAAAAAAATGAATGAACCCAACTCTTTCCCAGCAACTAGGGCATTGCTGTGTCTTGCTCCAGCCTTCCAGAACTCTGTTTCCTCTTTTTGACCTAGGCAGTGAGGACACTAACATTCGCTGGGTGAATGGATTGTTGATTGTCAGAATCGCCTAAGGAATTTAAAACACTACCCATTCTCAGGCCTTACTCTAATAGTTTGGATTTGGCATCTACAAATTTAATCCCCCTCCACCCTTTTATAGATAAAAGAAAACTGAGACTTAGGGAAACAGATTTAGAAGAAAGACTTATTGTGAGTAAAGCAGAAATGCTTGCCTGTTTTCTTATTATTTTCTGCAACTACGGGAGTTTCCCCTCCGAACTTCTATGGTAGGGATCAGTGAATATGGTGGGAAGTGTTCCCTCGCAGTACTCACGTGCGTTTTGTATTTGGACATCTGAATGCCTGCTTGTGTCCTGTGCTGGCTGCTAGCTGTGGGAATGCAAGGGGTCTTTAGGCTTGGGGGCTTTCAATGCAGTGAGAAGCAAATAGATGAGTAAATAACTTCATTAAATTGTACCTGATTCTGTGCCAAGTGATAAGGCACAAGAGGACAGAAAGGAGAGCATAGTAGAGATATTGGGGTCTTTATTTTATTAGCTGTTGAGTGAGGTGGGCCAGAAACAGTTAAGCTTGTGATTTCCCGTGGAAAGAGCCTTCCTGTTTAGATTGGTAAACAGGCTGATCCAAAGTGCAATGTCCTTGCAGGGACATTTCCCTGGGAGGTTGGAAAGTATTCAAAGGTGATTTGATTTAGTTGCTTTTCAAGCTCAGCAGAAATAGCCCTTTTAATGGACCTTCTGGACCATTCTTTGGGCTCCAGTGTTATCAGTGGTATCTGGAGGCATTTTTAATGATGTGATGAAGATAAAGAGTGTGGCGGGAAAAAGCCCCAGAGAGGGAGTCAGCGTATCTGGCTTTTAATTCTTGTACTGCTGTGAAACTTCGGGCAAGTGTCTGTATTTCTCTAATCCTTAGGCTTCTCATCTGTGAAATGGGGCAATGTTGTTTGCTTGTATTGTGGGATTATTAATGGGCTCAAATAAGGGAATGTGTGAAACACTTTAAAACTATAAACCACACCACAAAGGGGCCTTCAAATGACTATCAAGAGATCTAATTTGGTGGTAATGGCACATGTTTGAGTCCCAGAAATGTGATGCCTAGGTCTGCACAGGAAGGTGGGCTGACCCATTCGGATCATGCTGGAGAATTGCGGGAAGCTTCAAAGTACAATTCCTGGGAGGGTGAAGGTCATGGGACACCTGACTCTGCCAAGTACTGTGTGTACTGCACCAGATATAACGCTCCCTCTAACAAAAAGTGATGGCATCCTTGGACTCTTTGGGAAGGTAAAGCATGTTGGAGGAAGCACAAGTCAAATTCGCTTCCTCAGGCAAGGGAGTCCGTGGGAAGCTCATGATGAAAGACTTACATCTGGGGAGTTTAGGGTAGAGATGGATGCCTGCAAATGTCAAATCATTTTGTAACCCCTTTGATCAGATCACAGGAGAAATGGCCTTGGTAGAGAGATAAAGTCAAGAGCTTCAGAGATAGTGAAAAATAGGAGAATTGCCGTTGGACAGAATTATCTGATGGGGTGAGATCCTGGGAATGGAAGGATTATTATTTAATAATACCACTTAATCTCTGCTCATTAAAGCAATATGGAAAGTCATGGTAAACTTGTTCTGAAACTCAGTCATTGGTATAAAATACTCTTATGATGACATTATAGGAATCTACAGCAGAGCTTTCCGGCCTACATCATCTCCACATTGATTCCTTCAGCCCTGTCAGGCCGTGAGTCACCTCTCCTGGCCTCCAGACTCCTTCCGTTACCCCAGGCAGCAATGCTCTGGGTGCAGTGATGGGCAAAGATCAGCTTCTGCAACCAGACTTCTCGTCTTTTAGAGATTCCTCACCTTACGGGAATGTGCCCTGGCTTCTTTGTTTGCTCTGGCTGTTCCATCCCAGCTGAACACTTTTTTGGTCTTTTCCTCTGTGATCTCTTTTCACTTGACAGCCAATTGAAACTTTTGTGTCTACAGGTCCAGTGTGATAGTAATAGATGGGATATTGTGAGATTCTGTGGAGGCCACGATATCTGAGTTTATTTTTTGGCAGCTGTTTACCTAAAATATTTTCCAGGTGGTATGCTTATAGGAGTTCACTTAATTTGTCTGTATTCTTGGTGTTTCATCTTGGGAATTTTGAATTAAGCTGTACAAGCAAAGGTAAGCCATGATTGGGTTATGCTTTCCTAATTTTCTTTTTTAGCCTTACCAAATATTTTGGCCTATAATTATCTATTATCTGTATTATCCATCTGTTCTTGCTTAGACCCAATTCTGGTAGGTTTCATGGTTACCATTGTGCCTGAACCCAGAAACCACTCTTAAAAGTCTATAAATAGTGTTGTACCATCTTTCTGTCTTATTGTCCTCAAAGTATGATATTTTATATAAACTGGATTTTAGAACACTCCTTTTTATAATCTGGCAACAGTATAAATTGTTGGTGTTTATTTTTCTTTTCATTTCACATGATAGATTATTCTGTTCAATTTTAGCTTTTGGATGACTCATACATTGTTAGCATTTTGCTGTGGCATTGGGTGGTCTTTAGCATTTTATTGGACTATTTTATAAAACATCACCAAAGAAATATGTTGCAACTGGTATTTATTGCCTTAATCTTATTGTCTGCATTGAGAAGTTGCTAACTAAATGTTTTCTTCAGCTTTTCCTTAATTGCAGTGTGGTTAATTCCTCTCAACTGCAGGAAGCCAAGGTATTTATAGATTGCTGTTATTATTTTTGTGGTCAGCAGAAGTCATCGGCATTCACCCAGTGCCAGGAGTATGCTTGGCGTGAAGTAGGACATACAATTAGATACAATTCCTGCCCTGTGAACTTGATGTGAGATGAGTTAAGCAGAGAGGAGGGAAGGAAGATATTTTCACAAAATTGTTATCTCTTCTAAAATGGAAAGAAAATGAATTTCAGTTCAAAAGGACACCTTAGGAATTCAATTAAATAGATTAGAACACAGGTGACACCTCATCAGGGCAGCATTTATGCTAAATTATACAAATCTGAGGAGTGAGTCACAGCAAATCCAGATATGATGGAGAACTTACCTCAAAGCAAACTATAGTGGTGCTGTAAGTGGGGAGAGAGGAAGGAGAATGGGGGGAAAATGCTGAGATGCATTTTAAGGAAGGTTAAAGTTAAAGGTATCCTGAAAATCACCCTGACTTCGTCTCCTTCTCTCATGGCCACATCTGATCAATTTCTAAGACCTGTCCCTCTTAGTTCCCAGATATCTCCTCATACTGTTCTTAATTTTTTTTGCTCCTGTCTCATCTTGCTCCCTCCAATCCATCATCCATGAAGCACCCATATAAGTCTGATGATCAAGGTTAGTCAAAATCCTTAAGTGGCTGCTGGTGCCTTGGAGTAGCAATACTAGGCCCTCATGACCTGACCCTGCCTACCTGTGCGGCCTCATCTCACCTGGTAGAGGACTTGTAGCATCTGAACACACCCCAGCAGGCCAGGCTGAGTTAACTCTTAGTATCTTTGCATGCTCCAGCGCTTGCCTAGAATGGGCCCCTTCTTCTTTTTCCATCTGACCAATTGTTCATCCTTCAAATTCAAATATTGTCCCCTTTGTGAATACTTCTGACCTGCACCCGAGTGAATTAGGTGTTTCTGTCCTTCTGTGCTTCTGCTGGACTTGGGTGGCTAGAAGCTCCTTAGCAGTCACTTTAGTGCATCGTCACTGTTGAGTCACATGTCTTGTATGTGTACTGTTAGTGCTTATGCAGGTGTCACATCATGGTCATGATTGCTGACTGATGGAAGACTGGCTGGGTCACATCAGGCTGCAGGCTTCTCAAGGACGTTGTGTGTACTGAGTATCTGCACCAGTTTTTGAAGTTCTTGTACTGCAAGGGGGAAAGACAGGCCCCTTGGAATCATGGGAGGATGAATTTATTTCTCATTCTGGAGGGTTTCCAGCACTAGAGGACAGGAACAGTTGGTACAAATGTCCTGGATTTGTGGATATGATCTTGACGGGGGGGACACCTGTTCTGTCTGCAGATTTGGCATTTACTTTTGACTCTGAGAAACAGAAACAGAAACCTTCTGCATCTCTCAAGGGAGTGGCCAGGTCTGTACAGGGAAGTGGCAGACCCAGGTTCACTTTGTAACACAATTACTCTCACCACCTGGGAATCTGTCTTAAAGTGAGAGGGTGGCCTGGACAGTCCTGAACTCTGGAAATTCAGGGAGGGTAACTGAATTTCAAGACTGACAATGGCAAACAGGCAGACTTGCTTTTGAGAGCATCAGAGGTTTCTTCCTAAGTTTCATTTCATATGAATTGTCCATGTTACTTAAATTTGTTCAGGAATGAAATATCATAAATTTGATTCTTTTGTAGTGGGGACTTTATTTTTTTATTTATTCGAAAGTTATTTATATTCACCTCCCTGTGTATATGCACCTGTTGTGTAGTAGGGGATGTGATTTCAGTATAGAGTAACCACCTAGGATCCTGAGCTTCTAAGAGTCTAATGAAAGCTCTGTTATAAGAGCAAGTGAAAACAGTAAAACAACCTAATGATGGCAACAGATGCCACAGGTTGTTCCCCAAAAGAGGAAGGTACTGCCGTGAGCAGAGTGGTTATGGAATACTTTATACGAAGAAAATGAGATTTGAGCTGGATCTTGAAGGTGGGTGGAATTCGAAGTATAATAAAGAAGAGAGGTAGTTCTGGGGCAGAAAAACAGCCAACAGGAGAGGGATCCTCAATATTTTAGAAATTTGTGATGTCAATTTGACCAAGAGTTTTATTACTCTGGTCTCATGATCCTCTCACCTCCTGACTCTTATCTAACCTCTTCTGAGTCTTTGAATATCTGCTAGGTGCCCAGTTAGAAATGCGGGATATCACACTTTTCCTTTGGAGCACCGTTCTTGTGGGTTACTACATCTTATGGAAGAAACATAGACTCCGAAGCAGTTTTTAGAAATGAGAATGTAAAATTAGAACTTCAGATGCTGTCTTGCTGGTGTGACACCCTCACCCCCCGCTGCTTTCCGGGTGTGTTCTTTTTTTCTCCCATGCTGCCTTGGGCAAGTGGCTACCCTCTGCCTTTACAGTCAGAAAATTAGATGTCAGTTGATTTGCCAAAGTTTAAAGAGAACCTTAGTAAGATGATCTTTTGTGTGTGTCTGTTTTCGAATCGCTTCTCAGCTGGCTGTCGTATGATGGGAGCTGGCTTGGAGGAGCAGACAGAAGTACCTCCTGGCGTTTCTGGGATGAGTTCTGTCCTTCCAAAATGTGCCCTGGTGTTTTAGGAAGAGGTAGATTATGTCAGGCCAAGCAGAGTGCAACAGTTCTGAGTCTGCTGCTGAGGAACTGGTGATTCATAAGAAAAGCGCCTTGTACTTGTTCGTGAAGATTGTGTTCACCTTGGTACTTGATCTCTGAATTTCCTTTCTACCTCTGATCCTCTTGGGGCTTGGTGTTAGTGGTGCAGGTGGGAGCTGAGAGTTGGAGTCCATCTTCCTTTTCTTTCTTGACTTTGTTGCCGGTAGACACCCTGCCCCAGGTTAGGAGGCAGAGCGCCATTTGTGCTGGTGCACGAGCCTCCTGCAGCAGCTCCGCTAACCCCCGTTTTCCTCCATCCATCTCCTCTTGGTCAATTTCAGCCTCTCAGCCACATTAATAAGCTCATTCACAGTCTAGGCTACTCCTGCCACCGCCAGAGCTGTTGGTCTGTCCCTCTGCATTTCTGCAGAGCTATTGATTTGCAATCTGCTTGCACCTTAACTGGATTCAGGTTGGCGTGTGCCTCTAGAAGCCTTTCTATCTATTGATCGGTGCTAAGGGAACCTGCCCATCACTGAGGTTGCTAGGACTGCTGTCCGGGGTCGGTGGAATGTGTGACTGCTGACCAGGTTTTGCTTTGCAGTTGAGGTAGTTCAAGGTTACAGGGGCCCTTAGAGGTAAACTTTAGAACTCTGTAAAAGTCTCCCTATGAAGACCTCTTTCTGTCCTTTCTCTGCTTGATTTTTAAGCTCATTCTTCTTATTCAATCACCTGCCCCTCGTTCTGCTGTCCCACTGGTGAAAAACTCAGTCCTTCTCCTCATATGCATGTGTGTACATATGCTTATGTGTACACACAAAATGGGGTCTTGCTGTGTTGTTATGTACCTAGACTGGGAATTTCTCTTATGGGTGCTAGTATTTCTCTCCTCCTTTCATGCCCATTTAAGAATCCACAGACAGAACACCTTCTTTAATTGAAAGAAAGAAGCATCTGATGCCGTGATTGGCCTGGAGTATGGAGAGCTACAAGCGCTAGAATATGCAGGTGTGTTAGAGGGTGCTAGTGTGGCTGGTTCCTCGCATTAAATGTGACCCCAGTCTATTTTTTTTAAACTTTGGTAAAAACATAATAAGGAAAAAAAATTTGTTTGCTATTTGTATTTTGTCTTGTGTATTCTGTAACAAACAAGTAGTAAACGATTATGTATTCAAAAAAAATCGCACAGCTCTTGTTAAAGCTATATTGATAGGTGCTTTCTATTTTGGTTGCTGATCCAATGCTGTCTTTCTTTTTCTAATATTATTTTGTAATTCTTTTTTATATAGGAATATAATTGATTTTGCATAGTTATTTTGAAGTTAGCTACATTGCTGAATTTTTCTGTTGTTTTTGGTAACTTGCAAGTAACCTGGTAACTCGGAAGTAATGACATTTGTATTTTTTTACAAACCATTGGGATTTTTAAGTTGTCACAATTATACTAGCTAGGATCTTCAACTTTACTGGGAGTGGTGGTAATGAGTACATTTATCTCATAATTGATTTATCGATATTGCTTTTGTTTCCTCATAAAATTGATGTATTTATCCCCCCCCAAAATAAATAAATGTGACCCCAGGGTACAGAAAGCATTTGCAGCTCCTTTTTTTTTTCTTTAAATGTATAAGGTATTGATTTGGTAAATCATTCTATTGGTATAGCAAATATACATCGTGTATCAGTAGCTAGTTACTTGAACACTTAGCACCTTAAGACAGCTGTAATCATTTCCTATCTCATCGTTTCTTTGGTCAGATTTTTAAGGCATCACGTAACTGGTGGTTCTTGCTCAAGGTCTCTCAGGAGACTGCAGTTAGTCTGCCCTGCTGCTGTGCAGCCCGGCGGTGT